GTATAAAGTACAGAAAAAATTTAAATTAATTATCAAATGGCTGACTTAAGAAAAATTACACGTTACATTATTTAAAAGAACGAAGCATAACAATGGTTATAGATCGATCAAATACTTAATCGTTCAATTTAAACAGCTTAAAATGTAATTACAAACGGGACTTAAAACTAGAGATTAAATTACAAGTTGGACCTAGCACGTTAAGAGATGGAATACTGAATCGACGCTGAAGTTATATTCCGTTCAGTATTGATGGGGAGTCACATTTCAACATGTTGACAACTTTTCTTTTTATTATACTTGCTACAATACTAAGTTTCACTAACTAACCAAATAGTGTGGTGGAATCTCTATTTGTAAGCATAAAGTTATAGAAGGTTAATTGCAATATTGATGATATTTGTGTATGTGATTCGTATGTTATTAAGAACCCTATGTCTAACAATGCCATAGGACATAGAGCTGTTTGGTACAAAAGTAGTTTAGAAAAATGTTTTAAAAAGCCGATGAGGCTTTCATTGTTCTATTGGTAATACGAGGATTAAACACTAGGCTTGAAGAAAGAATATTTAATGTACAATCTCAATGTTACCTGTTAAAGTCGGAGTTAAATTATAATAGGTACAAGTTACCAAAAAAGTTTAAACAACAAAAAGTAAAAAAGAACATACTTGAATGAACAGTTTTGCCAAGCATTTTAGTTTCGTTATTTCTATCGTGTGTTATCAAAATAACGGTAGAACCCACTATTCGATTAGAGTAGCCGAAGATTTGGCGGTAGGTTTTGTTAACTAGCTGCCTTCCCTCTTTTTGGCAGTTCAAATTTAAGGACGACTAGCAGAGAGTATCTCTTGTGTAGTTTTGCACGAATAACCGAAACAAACACTTACTTAACACGTTACACAATTGTCAAAAGTGCAGAACTGATAGACAAGAACAAACGAACTAATTTTATGTTCATGCAATGCGTTTCCGAAACTGTTTTTACTTTGCCAAGCTTAATTGTTGCTACACAAACGATTCACAGAAGTTTTTATTCAAGATATTACAAAGTGTTTTTTTTTTATTCGATCTAATTAACACACAATACTCGATTATTGCGTTCATGTATCCTATCGAGTGTTTTTTTTTTGGGGGGGGGGGCTGATCCTTCTCAGGTGAACACAATTTCCGCTATAGTTAATTTCACTTTTATCAAAAACATTAACCTTGTCTTTCTCATTTCATTAATGATACAAGTGTACAAGATACTTTTTCACTTGTTCATTTATTAATTTGCTTCAAAGAACTAATAAAACAGAATGAACTCTTATTATTACCTCATTAGGTTAACTTAAAATCCAATTGGTAATTCGTTAAGATGTCATTGACTGTCCTCTTTTTTTGTATGCTTTCCAATGAGCGTTGTCTTACTCAGTGCTTCTATTTTTATTATAGAATATTTTCATTGTTTCTTGTTACAAGTGTACTGCGCCACCTTACTGTCAGCAGTGGTATTCGTTTTTTTTTTTTTCGATTAACTTTTAATTTTATTGTTTTTATTATTTTTTATTTTATTTTGTATAAACATCCTATTTATAAAGTGGTGTAGAAGGACTGTTATGTTTAAAATAGGGGACATTTGTAGTGTCGCTCATAATGGTGTTAATTTTTTTCAAGTTAATCTGGTTTGTCTCATAACACAACTCCATTTCCATGTGTTCAAATCACCGTCAGATACGCTCTTTCTAACCATTCAAAGGAAAGAAAAGTCACAACGCTTCCTTAGGGACTTGAAAAACAAAAACATTATTACCGACAATGCATTCAACCAATTGCAACCTTGTGGATCGCGCCCTAGTATAATGTATGTCCTTCCTAACGTTCACAAACAAAATCATCCATTACGTCCTATAGCTATACTTTCTACAATCGGAATGCAGTTATAAAACAGCTAAATTTACTGTCCTGGATTCGTTTTCGTTTGTTAGAGTTAAAAGGTCTACATCCTCCCAATGAATGTTTTATGGCTAGTTTTGGTACAAGTTCTTTATTCGTAAACATTCCATTGGATAAGACTATTGAAACTTCTTTGAAAAAACTCTTTCAAGAGGAAGTATCTTGTTCATGGCTTAACTAAGGATTAACTTAGATCTTTAAATATCCATTCTGTAAAGAACAGCTATTTGGTATTTAATGGAAAACTAACCAAATTAATGGAGTGGTTATGGAATCTCCATTAGAACCAACTCTCACTAACATTTTTCTGAGCCCGATAAACAATGTTGGATGAACAACTGCCCACAGAAATTCAAACCAATATTTTACAAACTCTATTGATAATACTTTCGTAATTTTTTTTCGATCAAAGGATGAAGTTCAACAGTTCCTTGAGTATTTAAACTCTCAACACTCGTCTATACATTTTACCAATGAAATTGATGAAAATAATACTTTGCCTTTTCTAGATGTACTATTAACTCGAGATGTTCAGTTTTTTGAATGACAATAGATATATGGAAAGAAAACGTTCACGAGACGGCTTACCCAGTTTCATAGTTTAATTCCTGTAGGATATAAGATCAATCTAGTAACATGTCTACTGACTCGAGCCTTTAAAAACTATTCAACTTATTTCATTTTATACTCGGAGATTTGGTTTTCTTCATGAAATATTATTGTGTAATGGATACCCTAAAAAAAATGATTGAAAGCCTAACCAGGATATTTCTGAACAAAATATTTAAAACTCCCACAAAAATGTTCACAGTTGATAAATGCCCATTTTCATTGACCATCTCTTACCTAGGACAAAGTGTCATACTTTCTAAACAACTTAGAGTTTTAATAACGAAGTTTTACCAACAGGTCTGTCTAACTTAACATCATTTTCAAACCATCCTCGAGGTTAAAACATATCTTTTACACCAAAGGATCGTCTACCTATCTCTCTTCACTCCTGGATTGTATATAAATTCACGTGTGGTGACTACAAGGCCGCCTACATTGGGAAAACTAAACAACATTTTACCGATCACACCCACTGGAGTATCAGTGAGGTCAGATAACATACTTTTTTTTAAGTCCACTCAATTCCGCGATCAGGAACCACACATCCGATAACTTACGCAGGATTCACCATTCTTTGTAATGGTAATTCCAACCTTAAACTGTTAATCAAAGGAAGTCTATCCATAAAACAAATGTCCACTGTTTTAAATATAAGTTTTCCTACACACTTAATTTGTTTGAAAGCAACTTACACTAAAATGGATTTATAATAAACCACTTTATAAATAGGAAGTTTTTACAAAATAAAACAAAAATAAACTGTAAAGGTTTTTAATATTATTACATCGCTTCCATTGATACTGTTTGTAAATAGTCAATAATACTGTTGGTTAATTTTATTGTTCTCGCTTTCCGGAATTAGAACATTATTATAATTTTGTATTCTCTAATATGTCAAATTATCGTTATTTTCTCTTGCCTGATGATGACCTAAGTAGAAGGCCGAAATGTTGCATGGCCATATTTATGTGTGTGTATTTCTCCGTAATATATATTTCGTAGGTTAGAAACGATGAAGTGCGATGTTCTTTGTGGTTACTGGTGGATAATTAAAGTGATTTAGAGCAAAACTTCAGTATCTTATAAAGATGGTCATTAACAACTAACTAAACTTAAATTCGATGATGAGGAACCCACTTTGAGACTAATAATGGCTGGAGACAGCTTGAATGGGTAATGAAGAAAAACTTTAATATAAGTTTAACACAACAGCTAGTGTACAACGTTTCGACAAGGTTTTGTCATCATCAGGTACCTTTAACAAACAACTAAACTAAAACATTGAAAATATACCCTACCACATCATGTCATCATCAGGTACCTTTAACAAACAACTAAACTAAAACATTGAAAATATACCCTACCACATCATGATTAATATAACTGAGGTATTTCTGTTGTTAATATTTACATGTTTCGCTATGACAAATATAGCTTTGATGTGCAGAAATGTTTCTTGCATGTGTATCTTGACTTGCATCTTCGAGACTGTAAAGTGTTGAGACTAATTCAGTTGTGTATCCAGGTTTACCTGAGAGGGCTGGAGGTTCCAAATCAGATGGTCAAATATGACTGGATTCAGAGCATGAAAGTACTACTAGTGTGTGTGTGTGTGTGTGTGTGTGTGTGTGTGTGACCAAGTAGAGATTTTCTGTTGTATATTTATGGGGAAAAAAATTCACCTACGGTTTTTTTTTTTGTTTAAATGACTGTGTAGCTATTAAAATTATCATTACTTGGTTTTTAATATAAATTTATATTTAATTTTAATAGAAATTATTTTCCAGAGACATACTTGGTAGTAGTTAATCAATACAAACAAATTATTGGTTTATCTCTGATTTGACAATTCTTGGCACTTTTAAGTAGACTTTTGTGTTTACAAATGGCATAAATTATTTTTTTTTTGCACACGCAAGAGGATATGTTTTTTGTTTTTTTCAGTATTAGTGTTTTGTTCTTTTAAGCCCCTCAGTGTCACAGTGGTATATCTGTGGACTTGCAATGCTAGAAACCGGGTTTTGATACCCGTGGTGGGCAGAGCACAGATAGCCCATTGTGTAGCTTTGTGCTTCACTTCAAACAAACTTGTCTTTTAAATGGTTCACAGTCTGCTTTAGTTTGTTCCATGAAGAGATCTTATGCCCATTGTGCCGGAATTTCGTTGTATGATTTGTCTGGAGCCTTGGATGTGACAGAACATTGTTTTTCAAATAAAGATTTTTTTTTAATCTAAAATTATTTGTATTTAAATCTTAATTAAAGATTTCTGTTACAGCCTCTGAAACATAAATTTGTTAAAACATAATTAAATGTGTTTCAAAGTTCATGAGGTTGTTGATTTTGATCAATAAAAAAAAGGAAGAGTATTGATGATCCATACGTAGTGATGATAAAGTTAGTTTTCAACTTGTGATTTTATTTATATTTGTATACATGTTTTTTTGCAGTGTTTGACCTGGTGTCTGTCTTGATTAGTAAAGAAGATGGCGAAAGAATTGCTAACCTAGTGAACAACGGTACTAGAGTTGAAATGCACATCAGCATTGGAACACCTAACACATTTAGATATTCTAATATCAACCGTACTTCAGTTCTTTTTGTGTCAATCTTTTTCATAATTCTGATGATCATTTCTCTGTCCTGTCTTGTCTTCTACTACGTCCAGCAGTTCCGTTATATTAATGCTAAAGATATTTTATCTGTGAGTGACAGCTGTTTCTTTATAGTCTTAGATTTCATTTTATAATTGCAAATTATTTTTGGCTAAGCTGGTGTTTTGAAATTAATGTTTTGTTTTATTGAACACTAAAAAGGATGTCAAAAGTTTACAAAAGATGATTATAATGAAACTATTACTCTACAACTTTACCATTAGTAACACTAAATGAACGAGTTTTAATAACTTGCAAAAAGAGACGTTTTACAATTTTTAAAATCTTATATTTATTATTTTTATTTATTTTGCTTATCACAAATTTGTTCTTAAATGAGACTGATAATGTGAAAAGAAGTGATTACTACCTATTGTGTTATATATTTACTTGTTAGTTTTTAATACATGGGAGTTTAACTAATACAGGAAATATTTAAAGATATATTCAAATGTAGAAAAAAATCCATATTGTTGAAAACAAAACAGTACCCTCCAGTTTGTTAATTTGAATGTGACTGATATTTTTCCCAGTTCCTATATCACTATATTCCCTATATCATAATTAACAGCAGAAACATTATGAAGGTGCTTTCTTTTAAAATTTTTTTAGATCATTATGAAGTATTTATTAACATATATAATTCTGTATTGACTTTTTCTTTGAGTCATAAAAGATGCTTTTAGTCAAATAATTGTAAGTTTGTATGTATGCACATGATTTTCTAATAATAGATATAAAATAGTTTTTGTTGTTTTTTTTCCACATAACCACAACTCACCGCTAGAGTTCAGTGTAATACAAAAATTCTATTATTATTCTATTATTATTATTTAGTCAAATAATTGTAAGTTTGTATGTATGCACATGATTTTCTAATAATAGATATAAAATAGTTTTTGTTGTTTTTTTTCCACATAACCACAACTCACCGCTAGAGTTCAGTGTAATACAAAAATTCTATTATTATTCAGAAACGACTCTGTCATGCAGCAAATAAAGCTCTGGATAAAATACCTATAAAAACTTTGAGATCAGAAGATCGGGTAGGTTGAAATAACTTAGTTTGCTTTATAGTACTTCACTATTAAAGTTAAAGGAACTCTTTGAAATTGTTTGTTCAATGAATGGTATATTGATGTTATTTGAGACATGGTTGATATTTATAACAAAGATGATAACACAGGCCTGCAATGGTTTTATTGTCTTGAAATTTTTACATATTCTACTGTCATTCCTGTATGCTGAATCCAAAAATATCCATTTTTCTCCATCACTTATGGATTTTTCACAAAACTTTGTAACGCAATACATAAAAGAAAGACCACAACACTTAGTTTTGAGATTAAAAGACTTAGATTTCACAAAAAAATCAGGATGAATGAGGATGCATATTCGTTTGACATCATTATTCTTCCCTTTTCTTCAGTTTGTTTAGGTTTTTGATAACAAACTTAATGATATAAAATGTTCATTATGGTAAATGAACTAATAATTTGATCTAAGTTTTTGTTTTTTTCTTCCCAATTTGTAGAAAAAATCCTTACATGATAGATAATAAATAAATGAATAGTTTCGAAATCTGTGTAGGTGAATTATGGAAAATCTGTTATTTAAACTAAAACAACGTTTATGAAGTTTAAATTCACAGGCCTGTGTAATTAGCTGCTATTTGGCAGGTTTCTGCCACTTCTCTTATCAAATTGGGTAAGAAAAATGTTGGAGGGGTTGGGGCAAGGCAAAATACTAGTACTAGTGGGCTGATCTGAGATTGCCTTGTCTACTTTGATGCATGTATGTAACTGAAATCTACATATGAGATTTTAATGGGCTGACTGACAGACAGACAAACAGCTATTTGCAAAACATCTTTTGAAGGTGAAGGTATTTGGATACTTCAGAAATAAACTCTTTTAAAGTACAATGGCGAATGATCAAAAAGGTTCAGCATAGGAGGTGAGCATTAAATATTTCATCATTCACCTTCATGGTGAGCAATTCTTGTCTATTTGATTTCATTTACATTTAGATGAGGCCTAAATGGATAGAGATGTAATGCATTATCTGTCATTATATGATAATGTTTCTTTATTAGTCAAAATGTGCTGAAAAATGTTTATCATAATGCATAAATTTGAATTAGAATCATTAGTCTTGTAGGATAGTCAGAGGTTTGTGCATGAACATGCATAATATTTTGTATATACCCTTTAAAAAGACTCAGTTTGTCAGTGAATGACATTGTGTAAGTAACAGTTAACACACAGTATGAGAACATGACTTGTACTGGAATCATAAACATTAAATTACAGACTTTTAGTATAGTTTTGATACAACTTTGTTGATGGTTGCATTTGTTTCATGAGTCATGTTGTCTACTTGCAACTGGCCTACTAGATTATTTATCATCAATTTATCTTAACTGAGCAGTATACTTGTAAGCTGTTGTTGAGTAAACTAGAATTTATGAAATTTTATTTAATGACGGTTAACAAAGAAAAATTACATTAGTGGTAGAGAGAACTTTCAGAAGAAGACCACCAGCTTTGTGCCCACCATAGTTTTGTGATCATATTATGGTTATAAAATATTTATAAAGTTTTTCACATCTCCTTTCAGTTCTTTGTTTTTTTTCTGTTTTCTAGGAAGCCAATGAGGATTTTGAATGCTGTGCTGTATGTATAGAAATATTCAAAGTAGCAGAAGTTGTGAGAACCCTTCCATGCAAGTAAGTATTATGTATGAAGACTTGTGTGTGTGGGAGGGGTAAGCACATTTGGTGAAGGAATTGTGCCAAGTTTCTTTCATCTTATTTCTATTGTTTTATGTCTCTTTCTCCCTGTTTTGATTTTAAGTTTGAGATTTATATTTACAAAACTTTCTCAAAACTTAAATTTTAGATGTATTTTGGAAGGCCCTTTCTGGCAAATAACTGTCATACAATGGTAGTGAATTGGTTGTTTGTAACAGATCTTTAGGTTATTGATGTGTACATTAAAAAAACAACATGGAAACAAAGAACAAGTCATTGTTCTTTCTAAAAAAGTTATTCCCAATCCAAAATAATAATAAAAAAAAGTAACAAATAGAAGAAATCATTAATTTGTGTATACACTGAGGGCAGATGAATGTAAACAAAAGGTAATTCATGTCTTAAGACACTGATCACCATTATATGCAAAGTTTTTTTATTTTTTTTACTGCATCATGAGGGATATTATTATAACACAAATGAGTTTTGTCAAGGAATGCCAAATGATTTCTTGAAGTTTAAAAAACTTAACATATAATATGTAACTTGAAAGCATATGATTAGAGCTTTTATTATGTCATGCCTGGTAAGGGAAGGAGTTCCTATTATAAGAAAGCTTAACAAAATTTATTTGTCTCAAGTAAATTGATAAATAATTTTAGGATTATTCCTGTACTTATCTAACATAACGTATTAGAATTGGAGCAATATTTTTGCTGTTTACACAATGGAAGGTTTTCTTTTTCTCCAGGCATACATTTCACAAGTCATGTGTGGACCCTTGGCTTCTTGACCAAAGATCTTGTCCAATGTGTAAGATGGATATTCTCAAATACTATGGACTTGTGGTAAGTGTAAAAAGTTGGAAATGATAATTATTACTGTAATATCGAAAAGATTAAAGAGCTACTAGTGCTAGTAAATATCAAAGGAAAACTATATATTATGCTATAGAAACACTGTTAATACATATACAAATATTAGTACATATATCAAAGGAAGGCTGTTATTAATACTGTAAATCAATGACAAATTTTTACTACCACACACTCTCTCTCTCACTCAGTATAGTTAAAATTAAAGCAACTATAAATTAAAGGAGGATATTAATACTAGTACACATTAAAGGAAATCTACCTATAATAATGTAGATCAATTTAAAATTATGACTATTGTAACAGATTAAGTGGACAATTAATACTACTACTCCAGATCTAAGAAAAGCTACAACACAATAGAACTTCAATATTTGTTGTATGTACAAGTAAAACCTGAATGAAGTATAGTATGTACATATATTTTTATATGATATTGAAGTAGCATGTAAATTGTTGCAATATACAAGACTTCTCTTGATGAAATTATAAAACTCGGTTTATTAATACAGGTGGTTCTAATTCAAATCATTATGCTGCATGATGTACACTTTTGGTTAGTACACAATGTATAATGAGTGTAGGCATGTATATGTCTGTGTATAAAACTAATCAAAATACTGCATAATCCTAGGTGCCAAACTTTAAAAATTACTAAATTTAATCAAACTAATTAGTGAAAAAAATAATAATGTGGTCACCAGATGACATCAAAGGGGATGAAACCCAGAGTTGTCTTTTTGACATACCTGTTGCATGATTTGTTTTATTGCATTGCAAAAAAATAAAAAAAAAACTACTTGATAATACCTCTGAATTACTTTATTCAGCTTCTGTAAATAAAATGTGTTGTGTGATATTCATAAGAATTTGTAGCTTTGAAATTTTGAAAATATTTCATTGGAATGTTTTTTAACAAACAATTAAAATGTTCATCTTAATTGTATTTATTAATTACTAATTTTTGTTTTCCCACATTCCTCTAAAACTTTTCTCAGTTTTTACTTTATAACAATGTAAATATTATTTGTTTAAAATCGAAAAACATTGCACACATTTTTACTATGTGTATGATTATTGGGGTACAATAAGAATAATTTTGCCATACCAAAATTATAATCAAGCTGATTTTTTAAAATTATTAATCGGAATGTTCCATTTGATAAATATAATAAGGTTAAAACCCATTTTTTATTAATTTATATATATATCTTTTTAATGATTTTCTTTGCCTATTCAAATAGCTACTTAGTCAACATATAACCTAATGCAAACAAGCTAACACAACGTCCTTGTCAGTGAAACAAACTTGTTCTGGTCAAGTGCATAGTGACTTAAGTCTACAGTAAACAATAATATTCTTTGTTTTGTATTCAATATTTCTATAGATGCTACCTAAAATCTTATTAGCCCTATTACTAGTTACAATACACTGTTTAGATTACTTTAGTGATTTTTCAATCACAACACCAAGATCTTTTTCTTCAACCCCAGCATTTAATATATTCCCATTTAGATTGTAACAATTTTAATTGTTAATGGAAGCCTTGACTAATATACTGTAACTCTTTGATATTTTAAAAAGAAAGTAATTACCTTTTTTTCTGGTGTGCAACAATTTTGAAAATGTTAAGTGTTTTCCATGTGAACTTAAAGAAAACAATTTTCTTAGATTTGTTTAGACTTAAATTTTTTGAAAAATTGTTATCTCAACTAGAAAAAGATAATAAAAGACTTTTTTTTCCAAAAGTTTACAGGAAGCCAGGAAAGTGTGCTCAATATTGATGAAATAGACTTTTCCCACATGCAAGATGAAGAGGAAGACTTAGAAAGTATTGATGTTCCTGCTCTTCAACAACAACATGTACCAAGCGAGCTGTATTTACCAGAACGACAGGAAGTTAGGTCTCCTTGCCATTCGATAAGCTCAAACTTGGAGCTGACATTGGAGGACTTTTCTTTGTATAGTCATGTACAGAGTCCTACTCAATCCATCTCTAAAGCCAGCAGTAACTCCTCCCCAGCTCCACCATTCCAGAAGGACAGGATTTTCAAGACTGATGAAAATCTGTTCTTACCTGTTAAACTTATGGCTGGGTCTGCTGAACAGTGTGACCGTAGTAATAATAGTAGTAGTAGTAGTCAAGATCCCTTAATGGTGACACAGGAAAAGAAAGAAGTTCCAAAAGAGCCAGAGTTAGTTTAGTATTTGTTAGGCATTTTGATTATTTACAAACTTAATGGTTTAAGAAATGGTTTCTTTCAAGATTATACTGTGCCAACAAAGTCTAACTTACAGGAAATTAAATGTTAAGAAATTGGTATTATAAAAGATGAAGAGGGAGCATATACTTAATATAGAAATGATGGAGAACATTATCATATCATTAAATACCTGTTCATATCATATAACCTGGAGGAAAAAGCTATTTTAGCAGTTTTAGATAGTCACTTTTGTTCTTTACATTAATATAAAGCTACAGAAAAAAAAACTGGCTGTATGAGAAGTGTTTGTTATACTACAGTTTTTAGAAAACAAATTAAAAATGTGTAGATGTGAAATGTGACTATTTTTTCCTGACATGTTTGTTCTGTAAATGAATACATTTTTACATGTTTTATTTCCATATTTTCTGTGGGAATTAGATTCTATACTGATGTTACATCATGTTTTATTAACTTGATGTAAAATTTGTTATTGTGTGAGTGTATAAACATGTTTGAAATTATTAATATTAGTAAGTGGACTTACTGGAAAAGTAAAAATCGGTCTGTAGGCTAGTTAGAAATAACATTTCTTTAAGATATAGGGAACACTGAATCATTGTTTTAAGTCAAAAGTATTGGCTTTCAAGAATATACTTCACTATTTGAAATTTCTCACATTAAAGCATGCTAAATAACAGTTCAGTGTAGAGAAATTTTTACATCACACTTATAATCATTCATTGTATTTTGGTGTTATTGAGATTCTAAAAGTTCTTTCAGATGGGTGTGCTAGGTAGTCTTTCTAAAGTTATTTGTACTTAAGAGGCACTGAATAAAATACAAGATTTTGCAAACTAAATATATTAATAATTGCAAAAAAAAGGCTCATAGGAATATATTCAAATGGGTAGTTTAACTGAGCAGTGCAAGTTTTCAAACATGATACATAGCAGTTTATATAGTTTATTGATCACTCTTAAACAAAAACAAACAATTATAGTACTTGTAAATTACTTTCTAATGGTGTATTTTTTGTAATACTTAAGAAATATTGATAAGTTTACCTGTAAAATTCAGTTATATCCAATCAAAATTTACATTAAATTTGAAATCGTTCACTTTATTTTTAATTTGTGGTTAAGTTGAGCAGTTTTGCTACAACTATTTAAAATTAAACATGTAACAGCATCATAAAAAAATTTCTGATATTTACTTGTGACATGTGTAAAGTGTAAGTAAAACCATTTATAAAACTGATTTGAACTAATACAAAATTTCAACCTGTGAAGCTTGTAACATTATGTATATTACTTAGCTAGAAACCACTTGTTCAATCTGACCATTTAGTAACTAAAACCTATTCATACTAGAAAAATAATGCATAAAAAATCTATCTTTAAATGTCATAATATCAGTTATTTAGATTAGAAGAACTACACATGTTACTGACTTGTTAAATTTTTAAATGATATTGTGTTATTTATAGACCATCACGTGAATTGGACCAGTTCTTTAATCAGACCTGTTCTTTAGACAGACTGTACAGGGTGTTACTTATATCCATTTTTGTAATATGTTTCAAAGATTGTGATGTGATTTAATTCCATTTTAATATTTTATTTAAAGAAATTTGGAAGCAAGGTTGACATTCAGGATTATAAAGAATAAACTAGACTTGTGTTAATGGAAGTTTGAACATTTTTCCTGAAACTTGTGTTTTAAATTTAATTTTCATTCTGGATGATATAAACGGAGAGGGAAAATGACTTAACTTTTCAATGTTACAAACATTTTGGCTTGACTGTTTGGAAGAAAGAATTCCAAGGTTGATGTTTTAAAAAATCTATTTGTGTAATTCTAACAAAATTGTAAAGATAATTACAATTGTGATACTGCTTAATTGTTCTGTAACAAAATGGAATTAAAGCTAATTTTTTTTTACAAAGTTTTAGGGCTTAGTGTATTTGTAATAGCAGTGATTAAATGCTGAAAATGTTTGGAAACACAAGTTCAAGATGTAGTGTTAGAATTGTCAGGGTTTTAACAATGTGTGGGCTGAGGATTCTTCTACAATAGGTGTATGTGACTTGGCAATACATTCACAGTAAGCAGACAGCACACAATCCACTTATTTTAAAATAATATATTAAAAACAAATTAAACCTATGTACAAAAAATTCCTTACATTATGGATATCACAGTTGTATCTCAAACTTTAAATTGTTCTCTTTTTCTTGTCTACTTAGGCTAATTCAATACCCTTAGAATCCAATTGGGAAGACAAAAAAGTTTCTCTACTTTTATCACAATAGTATTGGTGAATAATTCACTTGCGCTACCTCGTGAGTCACCATCGTTGTACCTCAAACTTCAAATAATTCTCTTTTTAGTCAAAGTCCACAGAGACGGGTTCAATTACTTTAGAACATCCTTTGACAAGACAAATTATTCTCCTTATCTCTGTTAAACTCACTTTACAATATTGACTGTTATGGCTAATCACTCTCACGCCAGCTAACTTCACATTTTCTAACTTTTTTCTGACTTAACTTTTCTTTCACTTCACTTGTGTTTTTCTTACTTTTAAACTTGCACTCACGAGCCACATATATAAATAGCTTATTCACTGAGGCCTGGAAAAATACCGAAGATTTGAGTAATGCGATATCAACAATGAATTGCAAACACAATTTATGAATCTTATCGAGCTACACAATCAAACTTGTCATAACTATTGCCTTTAAAATAATTACTTTTAACTCTTAAATATTAATATTAAATATTAAGCCACAAAATAAATTAATTACACTAAACAGTCTTGTATATCCAACAATAAGCCCCTCTTTGAGAAAAATATTTAATTTCTTTTACACTACATAGAAAGACTTATTACTTTATATACTAAGTCTTCTCATATAGTCCACTCCAACATTTACAATTCATTTGTTGGTCTCTCCTCTGATAGGGCTTCACTTTGACAGGATCCTTTGTCTTGATCTTGTGTTGCCTGAGGTCTGTCTTTCCTGATATATCTCTATTCTGGCACCTCTTACTTATTTTTGCCAGTCAATTCTTCACTAATGTGGACTTTCCTGTATGTCTGTACTTCAGTAGCTGCACTTGTAAGGTCTTCTCTTTTGAAGTACTCTTGAACAGATTGGCATGGTATATCTTGGTCGTCTCATCAACTTTAACCTTATAGTGTATTCTGTTAACCACTTCCTGTACTTCAAAATGACCTTTCCACTGCAGGGTGAGTTTGTTATTGGCTATGTTTAACAGAACTAAAACATTCTGTCTGATCTTGAAACGTCAACCCTTGGTCTTGTTATAGAAATGTTTGACCAATTTGATGGGTTTGGCTTCCCCAATAGAACTGCTTTGTTAGGCCTGGTTCAGTACTCCTTTCCAGTCCTCTGTTTTGTAAGTATCTTTCCATTTTGTATTGTGATTGACTTTCTCTCGGGCACCGTCCCGAAGTTTCTGCAGAGAAAGGTCTTTCTTCTGCTCATGTGAACCTACATTTGGGATGTCACTTTTTGAGACTTTAAGGGCTTTGATATCTTACTTGTTCTCCTTCCCTTGAGTTACTGTAGTGACTGCAGATGCCACATCAGTCTTCTTTCTGTCTAATTCTTTTAAATTCCTACTACCTGGTATGATTCCAATCCCAAGTCGTATATTGGTGCCTTGGTACACATGGCCTCAATGTCTCCTACATAGTATGGAGTATCCATCATTATTTTTGCAATGGAAAACTTTCTCAATGTCCCACCAATTAGCACACACAGGCGTACCTTGCCCATCATCTGATCATCAGATACTAGACTGGTTTTCACTACTGCACCCAGTGTCTCATAGAACCTTCACTTTCTTGTCCTTGACATAGCCTTCACAAATTAGCATGTTATGAATTGTTAGCACCTCTCGATATTTGTAACATACTCCAATCACTACTGGCACTGTTGATCCATTGGCTAACTTTAACCGACCATTAGTTGTACACTGATCAATCACGGAAGTGGCACTTCCTTCTTGTGCTGACTCTGACGTGTTTTCTTGATTCTGTTTCTTCTGGCAGCACCATCCATGGTAACAGTCCCCTTTTTAGTGTTTCTTACCAGCACTATCATTATAAATAGCTCCAGCTGCTTTGTGTTGAGATTTCTGCTGCTGTTTGTTGGTAATGGACTTGCACTCTTTCGCAATGTTCCCCATTTTATAACAAACATAGCATCTCTATCTTATCCTTTATCTTTATCCTTTCTATCTATTAATCCCTTGTCACCTTTGGTAGACTCCTGGTCAACCACAACTGATTTCGACTTTAACTGGATATTCTTGGACTTGCCAGTTATACTCCCTCTATGGGCTTCCATATACTGTTCTGCCGGCTTGATCATCTCGTCCACGTCTTTTGGTGCTCTCATTTTAGAATAGTGACATGTCGGTTGAATTGAACTGTTCACGTATTAGTAGATCTACTAGTCCCTCAAAACTATTTTCACATTTCGCCATCTCAGTCCATCTGGTGTAGTATCATTGTAGACGTGCCACAAACGGAAGTACAGTTTCTTCAGTGACAGGTTTTTCTTTTGAACTTCCGATGAAAACCATCTTCAGTAAGTTCGTATCGTTTCAACAATGCCACTTTTAATTTGTTATAGTCCATGGCATCTTCTGACGTCATGCCTGCATATACATATAGGCCTTTTCCTGTAAGAAGTAGGCTGAGACAGACGATCTCAATTTGTGCTTTTATTCTCTCTCTTTCTAGTCTCTCCTACCACTTTTTTCTTTCTCAATTTGTGCTCTTATTCTTTCTCTCTATATTTCCAGTTTCTCCTTTCTCTCATTTTATTCTTTCAGTCTTTTTTTTTCCTTTTCTTCTTGTAGTTTTCTTCCTCTCTTCTCTGTCTCCTCCTCTCTCTCTCTCTGTAGTTTTTGTTGCTGTTGTTGTTTTACAAGCTCAGTCTTTTAATCCAAGACGCTCTCCTCTTATCCATTTATCAAAATCAGCTGACATTGTTATATCGTATGATTGTAATGTATCCACTATTTTTGCCATCACTACCGTTGTGTATATATAATAGGTCTACAAAATTTTGTAGTGCATACTGGAGGGATTTACACATTTGATAAAAGTTAAAAAAACACAAAAAACCTTTACACTCTAGATAAATATATTCTTTTATATTTATTTTGAATTTTAAGGTTGTTTTTCTAAACTTTTA